GCTGCCTGCTCGGCTTCTTTGAACCAACCTGCTGTAGCCCAAGCCTCCGCCGTGGCTCGCCCGATAGCACTTTTTCCCGTGGGTCAATGAAGACCTTCAATGGCGGAGAAAGAGAAGAAAGATGCTGAAAGAGATGGCCATGCAGGTACCGAGTCGGAACCATGGAAGAAAACGCTCTCAGCGTTCCCCTGCCACGTGGTGAAGAGCCGTGGAGGACCCCATGCAGGAACTACTGTAGCCCCGTTTGGAATTGAGAAGCAGCCGTGGAGGACCCCACGCTGGAACTAGAAGTAGTTGGGAACTGTAGCCCTGCTTGGAAAAGGACTCAAGTTGGAGCAGTTCCAAGCAACTGCTCAAGGACTCATGCCGGAGAAGTTCTGGAGAAGGACTCGCGACGTGAGAAAGGGACTCCGCTTGGCAGCTGGGAAAGACTGTGAGGAGGAAAGAGCGGCAGACTGACTGCAGCCCCACTCCCTGGCCCCCCTGTGCCACTGTGGGGGAGAAGGTACAGAACAAGGCCTTTGGGCTTTGGGAAGAAGGGAGGGGTGGGAGAGAAGTGCCTTTTTGTAAGATGTGGTTTCGATCTTTCAATATCCTGCTTCTTGTTGTAAATAGTTAATAAATTCAACTGTTTTTTCTTGTTCTTCACGAGTCCTGTCGGTTTCTTGCCCGTGACCCTGAGTGGTGACTGAAACCCTCCCTGTCCCTGCCTCAGCCCTCCAGGTGTTTAACAAAGAACTGTCCCCATGGTTTTATAATCCATGACAATGGCTGCACACTTTGTTTGCTTGCCATGACAGAACTCAGCTGTACGATACTCATTAATCAGATCAGAACACAGCTTGGCAAAGGAGGGGCTCTCCACAGCAATTGCAGCAGGACGTGCAAAGTCTCAGCATGTCCCTATTACTAGACAAAACCACCCAAAATAAGGCTGTACAGTTTACTTACTTTCTATGAAACACTGCAGACATTTTCAACAGATGTAAATGAGGGAAAGGAAGGGTAACTTACCATTCAACAGCACCTGACCCTCACCAACACCAGTCTTCCCACTCCTCCATCTACCAGCCAATTCACCTCCTCTTCTCCCAGTACCAGATCCAAAAGGCAACTCTTCATGCATCACAACTTGAGACAACTAGAAAAACAAAACAAACTATCCATTGCCAAGTTTAATCCCAGCTGATTTCTCGTGCTCTTCTGCATTCATCTAAGAAGTATCTTCCTCTCTTCTTGCCAATGTCAGGATTTCATGAGTGAGGAGAACCCAGTGACATTAATTCTGAATATTGAATTATCCTCTATAACAAAAGTGCTACAGAGTGGGTCTAGTGAAAAGGCATTTTTTTTTACTTGGCTATAAATCAAAGTTTTTATTCACCATACTGTTTTGCAGGATTTGCTGTGACAGGAGTAGTGAATTCAACAGATCAGGAAGAAATCCTCACAGATTAAGTGCTGGTTTCAGATTAGCGCATAGAGCATCTGACTAAAAAGGTGTGTGGGGAAGGGTTGCTTGCTTCCCTTGAAGAATTACTTTCCGCTTGTAGGAAAGAGGCCAAATGGGAAAACGAAATAGAAGAAAAGATTTTATACGAGCTCACAAATAAGCACTCCAATTTCTGAGAGCATCTCTATGTTTTTGGAGGAATATCTGGATTTGACTTGAAAATGAGAAAGATCAAGGACAAAAAAAAAAGCTAAAGAAAAACACTTCAATGTCACTATTATCTTCCTTTCACTGAACCTAATATTGATCTTGAATAACAGATTGTAGGACTTCACGCACATAAGACCGAAGTAGAGAGGGAGAAGTGAACATGAGCTTAAAAGTATATTTCAATTTTTACTGCAAATGTTTTAAAAATAAAATGTCAATTTAATTATAAGACATGACTTATGTCCAGCTATACTCTCCATCTAAGAAATTTTTAAGGCAACTCCAAATATTATTTTTAACCAAACTTTTCATTAGAAGATAGAATCAGGATCAAAAAAATATGTTTGGTGCCCAAATATGTATGCATGTAAATATGAGAATGTTATGTTAGAGAGATTTTTTTCAATTCACTATAGAGAGAAGGGTCCACCAGTGACATCTCTCTCAAGGAGTGTATTAGTAGAGATGTCAAGAAAATAAAAACTGTTGGAGGGGAAAGAGAGCAGGAAAGAGGGGAGGACTTCCAAGACTAAATGTGAGGAGGTGGGGAGAGAAAATGACAAGGAAGAACCTCCCAGAAAGACAAGTATGGGCAGGGATATCAAGTGCTGATCAGTGGGGATGGGAAATAGCAGGGAAATGGCAAGCCTCTGAGAGGAAGTGCAAAGGAAAAGGAGGAACTAAATGCTCCCATTATTGCACCTGTGCAAAAGAACTAGAAAATCTCCCAGGGGCACAAGGACTTGAGCAGTGGAAATGCATGTCACTGGGAAGGGGGAGAGGAAGAAGAAGATGAAGAAACACAGGTTTGGTTCTACTTTACAGAGATTAATGCAGAAAAGTGCTCATCTTGCAACAGGTACAAGCATTTGCTATATTTCTATGTATCAACCTTTCTTCCATCAGGATAACACCAATCATCTGCAGCTATGCAATATGTTTACACAGAGTCTTAGACATATGTTCCCATGGCCTGCGTGCCAAAAACCAGAGCAACTTCCTATCAAAAAAAGCTGAAACCCTCTGAGTTTGAGCCAAATTGCCTTACTTGGTGTGCTACCATAGCAACTCAGAGTCCCCATCATTGCTTAACTCTGAAGGTCCTCGGAACAGTCTCACAAGGCACAGCAAGTACGCGTGGCCCCAGCAACGTGGGAGATGCAGGGATACAAACAAGAGTAAATAATCTTGCCTGAACAACAGAACACAGTGGAAGGGACATAAGGAAGAGACTCCTGCTTCAAAGGAGGAAGCTGAAAGTTAAGCAGAGGAATTAATCCCTACACTGGTCAAAATTGATCATTTTTTTCAGCTTCTCCATACAAACACTTGAGTCTCATGCTTTGCAAGCACTAGCACCTGTATGCACAAGTGAATGACTTTTCAAACACCAAACTCTGCTAGACGATTTGTTTTCCCTCCTGGGAACTCCAGGCTCATTAAAGTAAACTACGAGGTCATCGAATGAGACTAGGGGTCATTTTTGGTATTTGTTAAACATAAGGTTACTTCTGAAAGTGTCTTTTGGACATATCAATGTATTCGATTTTATGGTACCTACAGCTCTAGGTTGCCAGTCTTCCTTGATGAAGGAAAAAGGAATAAAAGGAAATGGAGGAAACAATTCCTGTCATTTTCTCCAATAGGGAAACAATGAGGCTATGAGGATGCTTGAGAGAATGAGTACTCAACAGCTAAGCTAATGAGCTGTCTGTTTTCACCCTCTCCTTGTCTTTAGTCTCCAAGAAGCAAGTTATCCAAACCGATTATCACTTGAATTACTTTGGGTATTAGTGTCCAGATGCTTGTAGGGTGTAGAGAAAGAGAAGCATATATCTGCATGCACAGAGACCATGTCTATTTTACTTGAAGGCAGTGATTTACATTCATGACAGAATTCCTGCGTACACAGAAAGCATGAAGTAGCAGATTTTTCTTTTGAAAATTCAGTAATAAAATTTATGTGAGTCTTATAATTTCATAACATCTGAGTCTCAGTTTTCCTCATGTGATTGTTATCAAAACATGATTCCATCACAAGCCTATAAAGTTTTGAATTAAGAGTGCCTTCTCCTGGAGGCAGGTAATTGAAAAAGGAATAAAATAAAATAAATTGCTGAACTTCTCTTATAAGAGAATTTCTAAGGCTTCTTTTTTTGTAGAGAAGCAGTTGAAAAAATTACTGCAGTGAAGCCAAATGCTCAAATACCAACAGTCAAAGATAAAAGTATTAATGGACTATTTTGAAGTGAGTCTCTTGATTTGTAAACAGCTGAGAATGTCAATGCCAGAACAATCTTCTTGCCTGATTAGCATACTGGAACGATTAAATACTTAAAAACAGTTTAAATAGTTTTAAGTGCAACATACATGTTAAGACACTATTAGTTAACTACTTCTGCTTTCTTATACAAAATAGCTATTCAATACACAGCAACTGCATTGCTTCTCAATACAAAGCCAGTTTACACCCTGATTCAAAATTTTTAGTGCTGTTTTCAGAAATACTTGAAACTGTCAGGGAATCTAGTATCATGTTTTCCTTAAGTGTTCTCTTCTTTCTCCTCTTAGGTATCAAACCTGCTCAAACAATGGGCTGGTGGCTGGTTTCCAGAGTCAGTATTTTCCATCTGTGCTTGACCGTGAATGGCAATTTTACTGCTGCCGCTACAGCCGGAGGTGCCCATATTCATGCTGGTGAGTTCAAGCAGAAACCAAACCTGTTAGCACCTTTTGCCCAGCAGTCCCAATAAATGTCCTTGGCCACTTGGCCTGTCAAAAACCTTGTCTGAGAAAAAGTTTAACTGTGTTTTATGAGGCTAAGCAAGTTATTTCCAGTCTGGTAACAAGATTCTTGAGGATCCACGACTAAGGGAAGAGAATGGGGGCACAGTTATGCCGAAAAGTACAATGCAGTAGATAGCCCTAAATGAACAGGTGTGGGTACCAGCAGCAGCCTAGCTTCACTAGAAACCATGACAGAAGTCTCCAAAGTGGAACAACACTTCAACGGTGTTGATATAGCTCCCACTATAAATCCAACACTTTTATAGGAGTAGGAGTATCTCTGCACTATGCAATTGTGCCACAATGACTTACAGGAGTGAACTTACTGCCGGTTACCGCAGAAAAAATATCATCTGCCTGACAACTTGGGATTCTTGTATTTGCAGTACATACAACTTGTTCCCTCTCTCAAGGCTGTTTGAAGACCAAAGTCAAAATGAGCGTAGTCCAAACCAAAAAAAAAGGTGGCCTCACCTCAACACAGTATCACAGCTGGTGCTGGCAACCTCACAGAGTCTACTGGAAAACAAGCTACACATCCTTGTGCTTCCCATGTCCCCAGGTGTGGTTTCTCTAAATTGATATGTAAGCACAGTAGCAGACTGTGTAGAGAAAGCTCATATTGCTCCTTTCATTCTGTAACAAAACTCATGATTTTATGCTCCAGGGCTATTAATCCAGCTATCCCCACTAATACAAAGAATAACCCACCTACAGTTTAAAAAGAATAATAATAAAATAGGGGGGAGGGGGGGGAAATCTGTGCTTGAATCTTTGTTTCCAGAACTCAACTTTGAAGTAAGTTTCCCACTGAGATGCATACAAACTGTTTACATGCCCATTGGTCTTCCTTGGCTGGCTGGCTACTGGCCAAACACAACAGCAGTGCCTTGCGTTGCATCCTTCAGTCTCCTTGTACACAGGAGAAAAAGAAACATTTTATTATTATTAATTTTAAATGTTTTAAACGACAGGAACTCTGTAACAAAGTCTTTGAACATTCTTCTGCTCCCTTTCCAGCCTACACTGCCTACGGATGTTCTCTGCCTGGGGGTTTATTTACATACCTGCCCCTTCCCTCTGAGGGAAACTCACTCTAACTTTTAAGCAGTTCTTTCAATCTCTCTTACTTCTCTAATATTGCATGTATTTTCAGAGAGACAACAGAAATCTTCTCTAACCTCTTTTGCTGTTGACAGTTTTGCTTCCCTCAGACATCGTCTTGACGACTGGGAACGGCTTTGTCTCTGCTTTGCAAATTGGCATTCAGAGGAATGCAAATTCTAACATAAATGTTTGGGGCTACCAGTGTCTTGTGTTTCTGTCCCAGCTGCACACAGACTCCTAAACTGCCCTTCTGTTTCCGACAGTGACAACGCTCCCATTTTTCTTGCTTGGAAAATAATGCCTTATGCAGTTCAGCTGCTACTGTCTTTCCACTCAGAAAAGGTAGCATTTCAAAGGCAGGTGAAGCATTTCTCCTGCTAAGCAGGGTGGATATCCCATACGCTTCTTCTGGGAGGGGAGAGCTGTAAAATCTCTGGGAAGACCTGCCATCTGGCTTGTGAAAAGCTCCTAATGCATTGTTTGAGATTATGGGTTTATTACAATACCATTCTGTACCCTGTTTTACCAGACTCAGTCACTCCATCCAGAGCCCAGTTTGTTGTGTTCAAGCTACTGGCTTATCCTGACGTTTCCACACTTCTCACCCTGGGCAGTCTCTCATACAGTTTCTTCTACTTGAGATCTTTGTTTGACCTTATTCTTTGAAGTGCCTCTTTACAGTATATTTCCTCCAATTTCTTTCAAGCTCTCATTCTGCCTTTGGAGCTAGCAAGGTATGGTCTGGCTGGACAGACAATTAGATGGGTAAAACACTGGTGGCTTAACAGGCTTAGACGGCAGTGTTTAAAGGGTGATAGTCTGCCCAGGTGCCCACTGCGAGCAGAGCACTGGAACTAATAGTTTGCCATGGGACTCTTCCTGATTAATACCTTTATCAGCAACTTCGAGGAGGCAACAGAGCGCACACTCACCAGGTTTGCATATGACACCAAATGTGGCCAGGGGAGCAGGGGGAAAGCTGCTACACTTGAGGGTAGAATTGCAGTTCAGAGGGTTATAAAGAAAACCTTTTCTGCTGTGTGGACAGTGAGGCAGTAGAGCAGCTTCCCTGGTTAGGCTGTGAAGGCTCCATCCTTGGAGGTTTTCAAGACTCAACCGAATAAAGCCTTGAGTGGCTTGGTCTAACCTCATGGCTGACCCTCCTTTGAGCAGGCGGCTGTACCAGAGACTTAGTGAGGTCCCTTTCCACTGAAGTTATCCTGTGACCCCAAATAGGAGGACTCCTGCTAATGCAGCTAAACTCTCTCTCTTCTCCAGAACAGTGGTCTCCTATCTATTGTCTGTTGGAAATGGTTTCTTCTCTGTTTTATTCCTGTTTCCCTGCCTAGACAGCATCTGGGAGAGTGCTAGTTGTTATGCTAGGATATAAACAACATGAACTGCAATGTGGTAGCGCAAAACCCCATGCTTTGGATGCACTTTTAGTACTACAGATGTGACTTGTCTGAATTGTTTAACTTCAGTGTACAGCCACACTTCCCCTTCCTAAAACCAAGGAGATCTCACTCACAACTTTACTTCCATCAGCATTTCCAAGTTATTGTCACAAAATCTTGTTCACACATGGCACTTTTAGTTTGTATCTTGCACTCTGATTAAGATGCATTTGACAGAGACACTTGTGTTTTCCAGACAATCAGCAAAGCAAAGCAGTTCAGGGCTACCAAGGGTAGGACCTCAAAATGTATATACATATAAGACACAACAAAAATGTGTGTGTGTATACAGTATCATTATTTATTGCAGTTTCTGCCCCAACATATAATGGTATTTATTCTGTTCCAGAAGCTAGCTGTCAATAAACTGTCTGTGGATAAATGGCTATTAACATGCTGCTGACTCTTATTTCTTGGCTGAAGCAGCTTAATTTAATGCAAAGACATCTATTAGTATGCATCTATGTGGAAAAGTAATAACAGGAAAGTATGTAATGACTGTGGTGCCTCATGGATCATGCATGACACATTGGAAAATCCATATTCAAAGACAATCAACACTGTAGAATTTCTCAGCAGCCTTGAATTTTAATGTGCAATTAATCCTTCGTTATGAAACCAAATATGGGCAGAAAGGCTTTTTTAAGAAAACTGACAATAGTGAGGCTTAGGGACTTTGCTTGGTCGCATCTACATACCTTCTCTTAGAGCCCAGCAGTTCTGTTTCACAGCTCATCTTCTCACCATTAATTCCCAGTTTACCTGTAAAGGAAGACCATACGGTAAATAAATGTACTAATCTTTTCCAGTCTCATAGTTTTGCACTTGCTATTTTTATTTTTTTTTTTTACAAGTACTTTGCTTTCCTTCCTCACCATGCCAAGTCTCGTCATGAATTCTGCACATTTTTACCATACTGAAAATGATCAACGTTCTTCACAGGAGGCAGAAAAGCTCCCATTATTTTACCTGGCTAGGGAATGCTACCACAGGAAAATAAACTGTGTGCTGATTCAAACCATAAAGGAAGCAAATCCATCGCAGATGCAGAGACACTGTTATTAAGTCGTCCCATTAGAGCTCAGATTTTTCTCTTTGCCAGGAAATTGAAAGCTTGACTCCATACTCTCAAAAGCAAACACATGTCACAGAGCAGCCCCAAGTCTGCACAGACTGTTTATGACTGTTTCCTGTCTCCAAACAACCAGCAGTCCAAGTGCCAGAAGGTCTGTCTGGAGCTGTGGCTGCTCTCTGTCACGGTTACACTGTCCAGGCAACAATTACATTTTCCAAGAGTTATGGGACTGAGAGAACTTATTTGTTTTCTTGACTCAACCTGCCACCAAAGCTGTATTGAAACTCATGAGATCCTATGCAGGTTTCTCAGAGATTACCAACAGCAGAGATACAAATCCAGGAGGTGAACTCAGAACAGATGGGGTGGAAACATGCACTTCTTGGCAACCCAATTCCTCTCCCCTCCTCTTTTTTTTTTTTCTTTTTTTTTAAAAAAAAAAAAGAAGGTATGGAACTGATTTTTTTAATATCCCAGCAAATACAACCTTACAGTTCAATCTCCAGGACCATCTTCCAGAGACATCTTGGGACTAACACATTTGCTTAACATTGGAAAGCTAGCTAATGTTATTTCAGAGACATCTTTCTTGAGGAACAGGCATAAGGTGCCCTGAGCTCTCTGCTGCTGCCTGTATCTGTGTTGCACTAGCTCATAAAGGCCTCCAAGAAGAACTGTCATCCCACTGTGTTGGCTTCATGGCTCGTCATCCCTGTGAGCGTTTGCGGTTTTCACTACAACAGAATGAAAACAGAAGGGCAGTGATGTGTCTAGGTGAATCTACGATCCCAGAGCCTGGAGCCTGAACTCAATCCTGAAATGTATGTGACATGGCCACGTGAGAGAACTGTTCATCTCCAGAGCAGCTCCAGCTACCTGACAGCCCAGCAATCTGGGATCTATACTGGGAGCATAGGCAGGAATTTCTGTAGACAGTTTTTTAAGAACTTCTTCAGATTTTCAGCATAGTAGGCTTTTTAAAGGGGGATGCCCACTGTCTTCCAGCTGGAGGGATAATTGAAATTGATTAGAGAGCATATAATTCCCATGTTCCAATGTAACATGCAGGTTCAAAGCTCTTGAAACAAAATTCTCCTTTAGGGGAGCCATATTCTTGAAGCACTTGTAAATAACATCTGAAACAGTAAGGTCATTCAGGGGACACTCCTTGTCCTCAAAGGTCAGAAAGTTAATGTCAAAGCTTATGTTTTCCTCTTGAAATGGAACAGCTCCTTCTTTTGGCTGTGGCATTGTTAGAGGAAGAGTTCAGC